AAAGTTATGGTGTTAATCCTATAAATATGTAACAACTCAATCGATAAGAAGTTTAAGGATAACACAAATGATATAGTACAACGAACTAACAACCATATGGCAGTATAGGATCAGAATCCAAACCTATCCCATTAGCTTCAACAACTCAGAACATTAAACTAGTACTGCTTCAGGGAATAGATTTTATGAAATTCTGTGGCGAAAGCATTAGAAGCAAAATACACAATAAAAACAAATGACTAGGTGAAATAACGAGTTTGATACTTGCAAAATTTCTATTCTGGGATTAATTGGTAGTGCTTGAAACACTATTTATTCACAGATTTGTTAATAATGGTAAAGACAGTCATTTATCAATGAAATTATGAATACGCTCCAGTTGTGTAGGTGGCCTGGCCTTCTACAGTCTAGGCCTCAGGAATTGTACATTTTGTCACTCTTACACTCATCCTGGCTCTCTACTCGACTTGTACTCATCACAAGCATCAAGACACAATATTTGACTAGATTATACCAGCCAAAGAATCATAAACTTCCAATCATTAGCCCGGGAACTGAAAACGTTAGAAATTATAATGCATTTATTAAAGATGCAGAGTACAAAAAAGTGTGCTGTTTGTCATACTAGTAATATACTTCAAACTTTCCCATACTAAAAACAATCAAAACCTCATGGGTCATATGCATAATCCTTCCAGTAATGCCATTCACCACACTGTACACAATTACAGCTAGCAAAAGCCAGTGCAAGAAGCCATGCATGTGATTTAATTTTATAGTTGCAAATGTCCATGGAGTTAGTTTTTACAATTCCTAAAGTTTTGCTTTTTGGTAAGAATAATCACAGATTGTCATTGAGCTTACAACATTGTGGACCAAATTTAAAGCAAAGTCATGTACTTTAAGAATAACTAATGCACACTAAATAACAGTAAGCATGCCTTTTTTGCAGGGAAACCAAGTGAAAATGTAAACGACAGTAACAAATGTCACATTAGAAAACCGATCAAACATTCAAACAGAAAAACCACTCACTCCACTCAATAAATATAAGATAACACCATCCTAAATAAAGACAAATGCTGGTGTTTGAAATTAACATCCAACAATATGTCAAATTAGGGTTAGTTTAACTTTTATCCACTAAATTATCGCCATTTTTTCTCTTTCAACCTTAAACTATTAATTTCATCTATTTAGTCCCTAAAATTTCTAATGCCAGCTAATGTAGTCAAATTGTAGACAGTTGGACAAATCAGTAACCTTTACAGCCTAATTTGATCAGCAAAAAGATTATTTTAAAATTTGTACAACTTAAACCATACAACCACACTCATTCTTTGTTATTCACTAATTTGAAATGACAGTTGGAGAATAATATGGTGTTTGGTTGTTTAAGTTGTCTAATATAGTGTGAATAAGAAGACGAGTGTTTGGTGTCTAAATAGTAAAATTTCCTTTTGACAATTATGTTAGGTTTTCACCATTATTGATTTGGTCGGACTATCTCCAATTGAACCATATGAACTGAAATCAGAAACTACCAAGATGAAATTGATAGTTTAGATATGGAAAAAATAATAATAATAATAATTGACAATCATTTAGTGGATAAAAGTGAAATTAACCCCATGTTTGTGGAGGACACATTTCATGCTCATATTATTAAGTTGCAGCTATGAAGCATTGATCAGGTATTCTGGTTAAAGTGCTTCAAATATATATATATATATATATATTGATAAATAAAGTTTTATTAAGAAAGCATCAAGGAGATGCCGAAAGAATACAAAACCAACCCCTCAAACAGGGACCTAAATAAAGTGCTTCAAAAATATTCTACCAAGCAATGCACGGAATAGAACAAACACATATAATAATTAAAATAATGCACACAAACGAACTTCACAAAAAATTCTGTCCAGAAACTGCCTCATAAACAACCAATTTCACTTTCTTTGGCCCCCAAAATAACATAATTAATAAGCACTTGAGTTTATCTACCAAAAGATCACAGATATTACTCATTAACGACTATATCATATTGGGTCATTCTACTGACATTTGTTGTGTTTATAAATTATAACTAAATCTTTTTCAGTCGTAACTTAAAAATAAAATAACAAGTCATAATAACCAAGCGCCACCTAAGATATAATCAAAGACTTTTCTGATAATAACCAAATTAATAATCACAATAAGTCATAATCAACATTACAATGGGTCATAATTAACACAAAAACAGTAAGTCATAATCAATTCATAACTAACACGACAATAAGTCCTAACCCAATACCACAAACGTCATAATTGTGGCCAGTGTTTTAAAAGGCACGCGCTAAGCGCGAAGCGCAATGAGGCGCAACCAAGGACTTAGAGAATATGAGGAAGAAGAACTCCGAAAATATGAGGAAGAAGGAATATATTTCTGTTATGTTCAAAACTTCTTATTTTACAAGACCAAATGACACTCCTTATATAGGAGATATTACAAACATCATTATAACCCATTATATGCCACTTACATATTATATATTACCACTATCTACCACTATCATATTATATACATGCCACTATCTACCACCAACACCACAATCATATTCTATACATGGATAGAGAGAGAAGAGGGAAGATGAATATTTGGCTTGATTAAAATATATATATATATATATTTAGACTCTTATTTATTATCTTACTTTGTCATTGTTTATTTTATATATAATAGTTAGTGATTGATTTTTCTATAAAGTATCTAGAAAATATAACACCTATAATTATATATTAATACATATTTTATACGTGTCAATTTTTTTTGATTAGTTTATTTTATTTTTATTTACAAGTTATCCAATAAGAGAATGAATATTCAAGTGATTCAAATCCCCCCTCCCCCTCCCCCTCCAAAAAAAAAAATTCTTTATAATTTATTTTTTAATTTTTATATGACTACATTAGCATGTATAATTTATTTTTTAAAACTATTCAAGTTAAAATTTGCATATGCTTCCATAAGTATAATAATTAAAAAATAATAATTTTATATATCTAAATCCAATAAAAAAAAAAATTGCCACAAGCGTAATATGGATTTATAACATATAAAGTCATTAATTATTAAAATAAAATGTAAAAAACTCAGTTTATAGTGATTTAAAAATATGAACTATATCGGATCATACTTAAAAAATTACAAAAATTGATCAATATTTATTTTAAAACCTAATAAATTTGATTATGGAAAAAAATATGCTTATCGGTAAAGTTTTTTTCAATTGTGCAAAAAATAAAAAAAATCACGGTTCCAGTTACCGTAACCGTTATGCTACGACCTTTACACCTCACAACAGCAACCGCGCTACCGCCACCGTTACGGCGACTGCAGCCGCTTTTCAGAACCTTGGGCGCAGCCTTGCGCTTCGAAAAGGTCAAGGCGAGGCGCAATACGCAAGGTGCAGCTAAGGCGCTAAGGCGAGGAGTTTTTTCTTCTCCAAGGATTCAAAACTCTTAGGCGCTGAGGTGCAGCTTACATGCTTAGGCTAAGTGCGGTTTTTGTGGGCACACCCACAAGGATTCAAAACTCTTCAATATAAAATGTCCAAATGTGGTCAAAAGAGAGCAGAAAGTGATAAAAGATTGAATGTTATGTTTTATATCTTTTGTTGGATATTATATTTCTAATTTTTAGAAGATTGAATGTTATGTTTAGAGATTATCGCAAATGGTTATGATTTTTTAAATTATATATATTTGTTAAGTTGAAAATTTTGCCTATTTTATAATTTTGCTTTTCTTCTACTACCTGAGCTTCGCTTTGGTGAGGCGCACGCTTCGCCTCGGGCTTTGCGTGTAGGCTATAGGAGACCTTATCGCCTTGGTGTGCCTAGAGCCTTTTAAAACACTAATTGTGGCATATGGGTCCTAAAAGGGGTTTGAATTATAGAATTCACATATTTAAAAATATGAAGGGGAAAAATAAAAACTCACCAGGATCACATAGCTGAAAAAACTTGGCTACTTCTGCATATAACAATCAACCAAAGCAAGTAATTATTAGACATATATATGAAAATATATGTATCGATATATATACAATTAGGAAAGCGAAGAATAAGAAGTAATAGGAACCAGTGGTGAGAGCCTTGATCAAGCCAGCTCTTCTGCCTATGAAATCGATGTACACCTCATCCACAGTCTTTGGTATTGGATGTGGTATTGGTTCCGTTCTCTAAAATCTCAAATGCCATATTGTGTATAGTCCGGAAACAAATTTCTCGAAAAACCTAATGCTAAACGAAATCAGAGCAGAACAACCCAATTAGGCCATGTTTGTTTGAGCGGACATGTGCGGACTAACAATCCATCTAGATATAGTATCTCACATATGATGATGGACTGTTTAATCCCATGAAGCTGGGTGAGATACAAATTGGAGGACTAAGTCAAAGTCTGGACTAACTCATTACAGTACCAAATTAATCGTGACTATATATCAATATTTGTCGATTATTTTATTCCACAACCCTTATAGACATATATATGAAAATATATGTATCGATATATATACAATTAGGAAAGCGAAGAATAAGAAGTAATAGGAACCAGTGGTGAGAGCCTTGATCAAGCCAGCTCTTCTGCCTATGAAATCGATGTACACCTCATCCACAGTCTTTGGTATTGGATGTGGTATTGGTTCCGTTCTCTAAAATCTCAAATGCCGTATTGTGTATAGTCCGGAAACAAATTTCTCAAAAAACCTAATGCTAAACGAAATCAGAGCAGAACAACCCAATTAGGCCATGTTTGTTTGGGCGGACATGTGCGGACTAACAATCCATCTAGATATAGTATCTCACATATCATGATGGACTGTTTAATCCCATGAAGCTGGGTGAGATAGAAATTGGAGGACTAAGTCAAAGTCTGGACTAACTCATTACAGTACCAAATTAATCGTGACTATATATCAATATTTGTTGATTATTTTATTCCACAACCCTTACTCTTCTTCGACATTGTTGTGATGAGATGAGAGTCTCCAAAGTTCGTCGCTGATCTTGAGCCATGTGGAGCCACAATTCACAGATCTGGAGCAACTGCTTATTGATTTGGATCCACCATTTGCCGATCTGAAGCAATCATTCATCGTTTTTATACCATGATTCGCTGATCTCAACAAATTTCAATGAGTAAATTTCTTTTTCCATTGATATTCGGTTGATTTACAGTGCCATTACGTGGTTTGATTTGCTATGAATCTTTGTTTTACATTGGTGTTGTTATAGTTATTGCTATTCCTCTCTCTTCGTCTTCATAGATCTAGATCTAGGGTTATGAGGTTTTCACTGTCACATTGAAATCTCAGATTTCTTGATTGTGGGGTCATATTGTTAGGTTTGTATGTGTTGAAGCATTGTTCAATGTTTAGCAAAAGTTTTGTTTTGATTTTTAATTGCTAAAGTTAGATTTTTAATTTTGTTTTGATGGATTCACTAAATTTGTTCTTGAGTCTTCTGCGATTCACCTGATCGGTGCTGATCAAACCCTAACCAGCTTTTTGGGTTGTTGAAGCTTTGGTGGATTTGGTTAAATGATCACAGTTTTTTGGGTTTGGAGTGAAATTTGATCGTTATTTGAAGCTGAAGGCACATCTGAGTTGCCTATGTGTGTTTGTGTGGCTGTATATATATATATATATGTGAAGAAGAAGAAGTTTGATTTTGCAGAGGAATTTGATTAGGGGTTTTGAAGGTTTGGAAATTAATTACACAAATATAGATACAATCGGGTAGTTAATCAACTTTACAGTTGGTAAGGATTTAAATAGCTTGGAACTTGTTCATATACACACACACACACACATATATATATATAAGTTGATCGTTTCAATTGAAGGCCTGTTTCATGGCTTGGGGTTGCTAAAGATTTTTATGTGCCTTCAGCTCCTTTTGTGTTGTCAACTAAAATGATAGTATTATTTTTCCAAGGTTTGTTACCTAGAACATTTCTCGTCAAAAAAAATTCCCAGAAAAATTCCTTGAAGCTGCAAACTAATATATTTTTGGTGAAGTTATGAGCAGATACATTATTGATATCGCCCAAGCATCATGGGAAAGCATTCTTCTAGATAATTAGATGTTTGAAGAACAAAGGCTAAGAAAATTTATTAGGAACTATTTACTAAAGATGAACAAAAGGGAAAAAAATGAATTTAAGGTGTGCAGTGATGATTTTTCCTGTAATTAGATGAAGAGAAGAAGAGATACGAATACTATTTGCTAAGCTGTCATGGAATGGTCATAGAGCTAAATGGAGTCTATGAGAAAAAAGTCAACAAGAAAATAGGTTGTAATTTGATATAAATGGTGTTCTTTTTTAATGTAGAAACTGGGCAACCCCTTTTTCCATTGGATTGATAACAGAACTTGCAGATGTTAAATAATTTTTTGCCAAACAAACCCCAATCTCACCGACTCCTCCAAAACGGTACTGCTCTTTCCTTTGCAGATTCACTCTGGTTTTACCTTTATTGTTGATCATTCAATTTTGGATACAAAAGAGTTGAAATTCAAATCATGTCCTGTTTTATGGGTATTGCCTCTCATTTTTTGGTGTAGAATGGATTGGTTATTGTCTGAATTTGTGTCTAACAGAAGGTGTAATAGCCAATACTTAGTAATTTCTCTGCTCATTAACCTGATTCAGCATTGTTTTTTTAACCTCAGTTTGTTTTTGATATAGGAGGAAGTGGGTATTGTTGTTTTAGTTTGGGTCTAACAGCAGGTTTAGCATGATTCATCATTGTTTAAATCTCTCAGTCGTGAATTGTTTTAAATTTGGTTTAACAAGAGACTATGTTTGCTTGAAAGTTTTCTCAGACGAGTTGTTTTAAGGGTTAGATAAATTTGGTGAAAGTGAAGCAAGTGATGATGCAAATTTGGTCTTCTTCATTATTATTTTTTTTGTTTTGTTAATTTTTTTAGAATTATAAAGTTTTCTTGTACTCTAATATATTGATGCGCATCACTATTTGCATAGATGGATTACAATTTTGATGGTTTTGGAGATGAGAGTAGTAAGGAGCTTGAGCTATATGTAGTTTTGCAAGTTGTAATGCAAGAATTGTACACCTTATGCGTTGTAGCATATATTGCCATTGAAATTGTCTTGAATGTACATTCACAAGTATCCTCATACCATTATTAGAGTGCCCAATTGATTGCAAGAACAGATGGGCCACATTAACCGGCTAGTGAGAGAAAGTGACATTACATGCATTGAATAATTTCGTACGGATAGGCATTGTTTTATGACGTTATGTGTAATGGCCCAAATAATTAATATAGGGAAAACCCAAACATACTCCAACAATATAATCTTGTGCCCGACTCATAGCATTTCATTGCATATTTGTGTATGAAATATAACGTCTCGTCATTAACATTATCATCACAATCTCTGAAATTTGTATTCATTATAACCAAGAGATTAACAAAAGTATTTCACATGCAATTATACATTTAACATTTCCTAGAATATGAATCTATAGCATGTGATATTACAAGTCAAACACAATTAGTGCCCTCATGGGCTTGTCAAAAATAACAACAAAAAGAAAAGAGCCATATGCCCTCAAAATACACTCCATGCCTTTAATTTGGCAGGTATCACCACATCATTTCCTATACAAAATCCACTAGGGTGAACACAAAGCCCAGTAAGAAGATCTTAACAAAGTATATATATTTTATACAATCTCCAGAGATGAATGCATATGCCATGCCATGTTCAAAATATTTTTCTCATCTTTTGGAAATCTTGTGCACAATGTAAATTTCAAAACACATTAATCCAACAATTTCAATATAATTTCAAGGGTGGTGAATACGACTCAGGTAATCCCTAGGTTGGTGTTTGCAAGTAGGCATATCAAGCACTACCAATCGCCACTTTACCGGTCTCACACCAGAAGGCACGTGATACCTCCTCAACGAGTGTTTTCGGTCTTTCACCATGCACATTTAGGCCAACTTAACCAATACCAAACTACACCCCCTATCCGGACTTACCAACATATTTACCCCAAAACAAATCAAAATGATCTTGTTTCTAAAAACAATTATGTTCTCAAAATAATAGTTTTCAAATGCAATTCGAAACCAATGATAACAAAATGAAATGGAATGGCAATGCAACATGTAACAATGCATTTGAATAATTCCAATTTCAATTCCATCACACAATCTTCCATTGTGATCAATTTTTTCACCTCTTCTCAATATAATTTCATAATGAATCTTTCGAGAAGTAATTAACAATACCATATTACATGCATTCTCCACATGTTAATCAATATTTTCAACTTAGTCATTTCAAGACAAATCAATAACATATTATACATCAAACTTCCAAAATCAAACATTTCTCATCTTTCCAATAAATCCCTCATTAGATACAAATGTAATAATCCTCCATCATTTATTCACCAAAATACCTTATCAAACATGAATCTCATGATATCTCAACATTTTTCTCAAAATCCCCAATTTCTAGGGTTTCACCAAAACTAGATTTTTTGCCATTTTTTGAAAGGATCCTTTCCAAACAACACACACACATAACAACATAGCTCTTACTCTCAAAGTTTGGGAAATATAAAGAAAACACACTTTAAAAATCATTTAGAGTACATGAACCCAAAATCATAGTTCAAATAAAAGGGAAATGCTTCAAATAAGCATAGACTTGTAAAAATATATGTATTACTCAAAGAAAATCCCTACAACAAGCTTGGGGCGAGAAGGAGAGAATCCTAAAATTGAGTGTTGGTGAAATCTTGATTTGATTGGTGAAAACGTAGCCTCGTCGCCCTCTTCAATTTGATGTAAAAAGCCCTCTCAAATTCTTGATAATCTTAGCAAGATCTTAGAGAGAAGTTTGAGTTTGGGTGGGTTTGTAGAGAGAAGGAAGAGAAAATATGAATATAGAGAGATGAAAAAGTGTACCAAACACTTTTTTGCACCAGATTTGAGGAAGAGAGCACAAAATTCGAGACAGATACATTGAAATCCGCACGAGCGCACGTGTGGAATCCCAAATCCGCATGAGTGGATTTCACATGCTCTTAACGAGCGGTTTGAGACAGAGAACAACCCAGAATTCCAACCAAATCCGCATGAGCGGTTTTCTGCCTAGAATTTCCCAAATTCCTCGAGTGATTCCGCACAAGCAGTTTTACCAAATCTGCACGAGCGGTTTTGCTAGCCAAAGCCAAAAATTTGATTCCACACCCCGATACAAGTTCTAACGCCCAAAACTCAAAATTTTAACCCAGAAACATTAAAAGAAGTTAAGTAAGGGTGAAATTAAAATCTCTATGACTCAATATGATAATCAAAACGCCGAAAGTAAGACAAACCATCTAACTACGCAATATCAGTCAAGTCTAGGACCCGGGACATCACATTATGCCATATGGTTCGTACAATAGGCGGGTTGAGGCATTCACAAAATGTTAGAAGATGGCCTTGTTCCTCTGCAAATGACCTGAAAATACGAAAACTTAAGTTCAATTTCTTTAGGTCCGAAGAGACTGTAAGTCGACATTTAAATGATGTCCTAAAAGCTATATTGCACCTTCAAGGCCACTTGCTTAGGACACCAAATCCTATAACACAAGCATGCACTAATTTGATGTGGAATGGATGGAACCTATATTAAAGTTCATGTGTCAGTGGTTTACCAATCACGGTGTAGAACACAGAAGGAGGAGATTGCTACCAATTTTCTAAGAGTTTGCTCCCAGGACATAAACTTCATAAATGTGTTGCCGGAGTGGGAAGGGTCAGCTGTAGACTCTAGGGTTTTGAGGGATGCTATTAATCGACCCAATGGCTTAAGAATTCCAACTGGTAATTAATAAATAATTAACTTTACTTGATGGAATTACTAAGTTTTATTTAATAATGGATTCTAATGTATAGCATCTCATACAGGTTACTACTACCTAGTGAATGCGGGGTATACAAATGGACAAGGATTCCTAGCACCTTATCGGGGCCAACGATACCATTTGTCTGTTTGGAGAGAAGGGGCCACTCCAACTAATTATCAAGAATTTTTTAATATGAAACATGTATTAGCCCAAAATGTCATAGAAAGGGGTTTTGGATTGTTGAAAATAAGATGGGCAATACTTCGTTGTGCGTCATACTACCCCATTAGAACTCAAAACCATATCATCACAGCATGTTTGTTACAAAACCTTATTCGTCAGGAGATGCCTGTTGACCCCATAGAAGAGGCTAAATAATAACATAGAAGATCAACCTCAATTGGGAGATGATTTTGATGACACCGTTGAGACATCCAATGAGTGGACTGGGTGGCGGGATACACTTGCAATGCATCTATATAACAATTGGTTGCCTAGTAGGGGGGCAGGGCGAGGACAGTTTCAATATTTTGTAAAATTACTTGTTACGAATATGATATAATTTCATTTGATTTGTACTTGGAACTTGTATTAGCTTGTGGATGTTGCACCATTTTTTTGCAAAAATTGTATGGTTTTTGTTGGTGATTGCATATTTTTTAAGCGATGAGATTTTTCTGTCTCATGGATGTGTTACATGTATGTATGGGTATGGGATTTTTTTATTATTGAAATCCATTTATGTATTGACTTGTTTTGGCATGTTAGCAGGTTGATAACAACATTGTGGAGACTAACATGCACACTTTTCTTTTTTCTTCTTTTCTAGGCATGGATAGTGAAGTGTCCAGTTCTTGTAAAAAAGTAAAGGAGAAAAGTTGATCCGTCAAAACCAAAGCAATTGTGGAGCCCATGAGAAGTGGAATGTCTTATTAATGCCTTGATGCACATTGTCAACAATAGAATGAAACAGGACAATGCCTTCAAGGCCAACTACCTTATGAAATTAGAGGAGAAATTGTTGGAGATGCTACCCGAGACAAACCTTCGTGGCACTCCCCACATCGAATCAAAGATAAAGATATGGAAGAAGCACTACAACTGTGTAGCAGGAATGCTTGGTACTAGTGGTTTTGGATGGAACGACACCAGAAAACAATAATACATTTCTCTATTTCTTTTTATACATTGCATTTTTTACAAATACTTTCTTTAAGTTACTTTGTATAAGTTGTTAACTTTTTAATTCATTTTTATTCATTTTTTTTTAATCTTAAGTTGGAGATAGTAATTGAAATTGGTTACTGTACAGGAAGAGCGATGCGAAAAACCTACGAAACAAAAGTTTTCCGTATTTCAACTCATGGATCCACATATTTGGTTAGGATCGAGCTATGGGGGAGTTTGTTGAAGGGCCTGCTATGCAGTTGATGCTATAAATGCTGAGTAATAATTGTTGTTCAACTGTCTTGCAGATGATGGCACATTTCTTGAACATATGGGTATGAATAGTCATATCAACGACGGAATAAATTGCTCCCACTCATCAAGTCAACAACCACCTAAAAAGAATGACAACAAGAAGAGGCCTAGAGGTAATGATGATGTAGTGGAAGGGTTGTCCATGATTGTTAACAAGTTGGGTGAGGTATTTTTTGCCACCACTGAAAAGCTAGATTCCATCAGTCGAAGGATGGATTATGAACATGATGTCGCATCTAAACGGGCAAGTTTGAATGATGAACCAATTAAGTTGCCAATTACTGTTGATGAAAGGCTAGATGCTTGTGAGATCATATCACAAAGTGCTCAAAAGCTCGACATGTTCTTCAACTTGACACATGATGACAAACTAAGGTGGGTGATGAGGTTGCTACGTAGGAGTGCTCCATGACAGACTCGTGACTCTTTTATGTCCTTCTACGTACTTAGTTTTTTGATTACTTTAATGCATGTAATAAAGACAGACTTTCTGCTACTTTTTTTTTGTTGAACTACTCATATTGAACTACTCATATTTTGCTACTCCATGTTGCAATATGCTACTTGGAACGCGTATTTTGAAATGATGAATGGTAGATTTATATTTTTACAATTTTATAGTTGAATGATTTTTGTGTTTTTCTGTTCGTTTAAATGAATGCCTTTTTGAATTGGGTAGTGAATGGTTGGATAATTAAAATAGCAGTGCATATTTTTTAATGGTTGCTTGTGTATATATAAATTTTGTAGTTGAATAATTTTTGATGTTTTTTGTTAAAAAAAGGGGGGTTAAATTTTGTTCAAATGAATACTTTTTTGAATTTGGACAATGAATGGTTGGATGATTAAAATAGCCGTGCATATTTTTTCACGGTTGCTTGTGTATATATAAATTTTATTAGTTGAATGATTTTTGATGTTTTTCTATTACAAAAAAAAAAAACTGGGGTTAAATTTTGTTCAAATGAATCGAAATGGATCTGGAGCAACAGCAGGAAAATTTCCTTTTTAAAAATTATAACACATCCTAATGCAAAATTTTACATTAATTATAATAGGGGTATTATGGCCAATATATTGGATGTCTCATGTCTGGTCATGTCCAATCCATTCCAATCCCCTTAAACAAACATCGGATTGGGTAATATTTTGTTAATCTATTTTTATAATCCTAATTTCATTCAAACATAGGATAAGATATAAAATCCAAAGAGATTCATAGTCCTAGTTCTATTAGTTATGGGAATACTAATCCAACTTAATCAAGTTTGCCCAACCAAACATGGCCTTAGGGTTTAGCGGAACAGTATACAAAAAGAACCCTAATTGATTATTACTTGTTTGTTAGGGTAAATAACAATTAAAATAACAAATATAAAGAATTGAAAGTTGAAAGTTGTAATGGTGATTAGTGACTACCACTAACAATCTAGGGTTTTTGTTTTTCCATGGTTTGATGTTTGTTAAGAATAGGAAAACACCAGAGCACACCACGATACAAAGGGAAATTGATGTGTTGACCAAAAACATGAGTGAAACCAAATCTATTATATATCAGAGAAAAAGTTTGAAGAGAATTTATTTATTACTTACAGAAGAACAGAAGCGTCCCACTCTCTGCTTTCTGGCACAGATTCAGGAAAACAAACGGTAGAAGAAATAGAACATTGGAATTGGACGATCAGAGAGGAGCAACTACACTCTACGCTACGCTCGTCTGTTCGGAATTATACATGGGAAACACTATGGTGCCTATGCCCCTTCACCAAGGATCCTCTAGAGTGAAATTTTTCTAAAGTTTCCTAAAGTGCTGCATTGTGTGGTTGAGATTTATTAGCAAGTCACATCAGAAAAATTGATGTGACTTGCCAATAAATCTCAACCACACAGTGTAACACTCTAGGAAACTTTAGAGAAAAATGACTCTAGAGGATCCTTGCTCATGCACCTTATCATTAAAAATAAAAATATCATAACTTTAATTTTTTGAATTATAATTAAAAAAATATCATAATTAAACCCAACAGAAAATAATATTATAATTGAAAAAAAAAATAATCATAATTAAAGGAAAAAAATGACATGAGTGAGAATATATATGGTGCACTTTTTTTAGAAGTATATATATTAGAATTTTTCATTTTACATAGATGACATAGGCCTCATTTGGGAATAGGTTATTTTAGTTGGTTTTTTAGCTCTTTTTTTTGTTATTTTAACTTAACTAAAAAAGTTATATTTGAGATGATAATTGGTTGTTTTTTGTAGTTGATTTGATTATTGCGAGAAAAACAATAAAATAATTATGATTTAAATGTGATATTTCATCTTATTAACTATTTTAATTTATTTTAGCTTTATTAATGACATGGGTAAGCCCATAAAGACTATAGCCCACTATGAACAACCCAAGCCTACCACTTAGGGCCCAATACATAATTCAACTGACGAGGCTTAACACAACTGGAAGTCAACATGGCATGAAGAACCAATGATATTCAGACACGTGGCAGGTAAAAGACAAGCCACATAAGCAGACAAAGATCCTGCAAAGTTATTGTCACGGCACATCGTCATTAATGAAGCCCCTTACAGCATTTATTGCGACAACCCCTCTCCGTCGGGACAGAACGGCTTCACCATGAACAAGGTGAGCTGGAGCATAGACTTTCGGCCATGACGACAGGTCGGAAGGGACAACGAAATGATTACCAGAGAATATAAGCAGACGTCGAAAACAATAAGAAGGTTAAGCTTTTCCATCTTTAATCTATATACACATCACATTTCTCTCTCTAACTTGCTCGTCAGAGGGTTCGCTAACTCTTGTGCAGGTCTTCTGGTGGGCTTGGACATTCGGACATAGACCTGAGGAGCGTGGATCAGTTCGATCAGTTGCACCTAGAACGAACTGCATCATCAGTTGGCGCCGTCTGTGGGAATCTTCTTACTCCGCGCTAGTTATGCTCATTGTTGCCGGAGGCCCTTTCCTGATAACCCTTTCTTACCACCTGCGAAGGTGGATGGTCACAACTAGATCCATAGCTTCCCACTCCAATGTTCCCGATCACCAAGCTGACCCTCCTAACCCAAACAACCCGCCACAGTACTTTACCGAGCTCACCAACAGCATTAACTGTCTGGCCGAGCAGAACCAAACTTTGATTAATGCCCTACTCCAAAGAAACCTTCCCATGCCCCCTCCGCCACCTCCAGATATTCCACTCAACCAAGAACGAGCCCCGAGCCATACTATCCAACAGCCCTATCCACTTAGCTTAGAAGGCCTGCGACCCCCTCCCCGAGGTATAAATCCACCACCTCGGCCACCGCATCCATCGGCCCCGACACCAACGCCAGAAGGAGAGATCAGCAGCGTCCAGCCCCCCTTGCCTTCCGGCGGGGACAACGTCCCTCTTTAGGATGTAGAACTTCGAGCCATGAAGCTCCAGCTCCAAGAAGTCATGCAAAACATACAGCATAAGCCATCCACCACAGCCAACTCGCCATTTGTCGCCTCCATCCGGGACAAACCTTTACCCCCCAAGTTCAAAATGCCCACCATTGATTCTTTTGACGGTACAACGGACCCATTCGACCACTTGGAGACCTACAGAACCCTTATGATCCTCCATGTTTTCCCTGACAAAATCATGTGCCGGGCTTTCCCCGTGACACTCAAGGGGTCGGCTCGACTTTGGTTTAGTCAACTGCCAGCAGACTCGGTCTCTACTTTCCAGCACCTCAGCGACTCTTTCCTTAGCCATTTCATCGGAGCCCAGCGCCAACGACGTCCGGCAACCCAACTCCTCAATATCCGTCAGACCGAGGGGGAGTCGCTGCACAGTTTCGTTACCCGCTTCAACACTGAAGCCTTGCAGGTAGCGGAAAACGATGATAAGGTCATCCTTACAACTTTCATGGCCGGTCTACGGTCATCTAACTTCCTTTTTCTCACTCTCTAAAAACCCCCCGACCTCCATGGCAACCCTACTCTCCAAAACTCAAAAATACATGAATGTCGAAGATTCTCTATCCGCTCGCCAAGACCCTACAGCCAAAAATCCCACCCCCTGGGAGAAGAGAAAGGATGTAGAAACTAGAAACACCCAGTACAATAACTAAACACCGCATTATTCCGACCGACCCCTCTCGAGCCGACCGGGAGGCACCAGCCCGACCGCCCGACCAGTTCGAGCGGTACACACCCCTCAATTCCTCCATGGAACAAGTCCTCAATCAGATCCAGCGGGACTACCCCCTAAAATGGCCCCAACCATCACGAACTCCTTCCAATCAGAGAGACCAGTCCAAATATTGCCGTTTTCACCAAGACCACTGCCATAATACCGAGGAGTGTGTTAACCTCAAAGATCAAGTCGATGGCTTGATTCGCCAAGGACGTCTCAGTCGATTCACAAAAACTCGCCCTCAGCAGAGACAACGGACTGAACCCATCAAAAACAACTGCCGGCACACCCCTCCTCGACAACTAGCACAACCTAACCAAGGTCATGATCGCCCTCCACAGCAACCTCAGGCACAAGGTCACCCCGCCCCACCTGTTAGAGAAATCAGAGTTATTTCCGGCAGGCTTGCTTGTGGAGGACCATTCCACTCGGCTCAACGGGCAGAACTCAGAAAAATAAGGCAAGGCTCAG